AAAATGAAATTCAATGGTGAAAAGAGTCAGGTTCTACATTTAGGCAACAAAAATGAAACGCACAGGTACAATATAGGTGGTACCTTGCTCAACAGTAGTAACTGTGAGGGGGATCTTGGAGTCCTAGTGGACAATCCCTTAAACATGAAGTCAGCCTTGTACGGCAGCAGCCAAAAAAGCAATCCAGGGTGTGACCCGACAAAAGCGCGGTGACAAAACTGCATTGCTAAAACCGTGACGTCATCAACGTGATGACAACAGCGCGTCGACAACAGCACGTCGACAATAGCGCGTCGACAGAAGGGTGATTTACAACAGCGCATCGACAGAAGGGCGATTTAAGTTAAGGTAAGGGTTAGGTTTAGGGTTAGGTTTAGGGTTAGGGTTAGAGTTAAGTTTAGGTTTACAGCGCCCTTCTGTCGGCGCGCTGTTGTCGGCGCGATTCAGCGCTCATTCATCGGCGCAGTTCAGAACTCGCGGTTTTGTCACCGCGGTTTAGTCGGGCACGCTTTTGTCGATCGCCCTTTTGTCGGTGAACCATCCAGGGTTGTATAAACAGAGGCCTCGATTCAAAATCATGTGGAGTCTTAGTACCTCTTCCTAAAACCTTAATAAGGCCACACCTGGAATCCTGCATCCAGGTTTTGGTCCCCACGTTACAAAAAAGATGTGGAGGCTTTGGAAAAAAATGGTGTAGAGAAGAGAAACTAAGACAAATAAAGGCCTGGAGACTAAAACGTCTATATGAAGGACGGCTGCAGGATTTGGTTTCGCTACTCCAGAGAAAAGAAGGACCAGGGGGGGACAGGATAGCAGCCTTCCAGTATTTGAGGGGCTGCCCCAAAGAAGAGGGGGGCTCAAGCTCTTCTCCAAAGCACCGGGAGGCAGGACGAGAAGTAGCGGATGGAAACTTAGAAATTTAGAAGTAAGGAGAAATTTCCTAATGGGGAGAACAATTAACCAGTGGAGCACCTGGCCTTCAGAACATCGCATTCTGCGTTTTAGTTGCCACAATAGAAAAAAGATGTCGAGACTCTAGAAAGACTGCAGGGAAGAGCCACAAAGATGGTATAAGTGTACATGTGGATTTGCAAAAGTTCATTTAGTAACCATTCAAAGTTGTCCCAAAGTTGCTTTTTCAGGAGGCAACTGGACTTTCTTGTTTGCAGATGATCAGCCGTCGGCAAGGAGTATAAATCCTTCCCATTCCCCACTCTCCTGTCAGAGCTGAAGAAGCTTCTTGGAGGAGAAGCCAAACGCCTTCAAAAGAAAAACCAGAAAGTTCAGTTTGCCTCCTGAAAAAGCACTTTTGGACGACTGAGAATCTCTACAGACATTCAAAGTTGGAAACAGAAAACAGATTAACAGGGTTGGAAGGGACCTTGTAGGTCATCTAGTCCAGCCCCCCACCCAAGCAGGAGACCCTACACCATTTCTGACTAATGGCAGTCCAGTCTCTCTTGAAAGCCTCCAGTGATGAAGCTCCCACAACTTCTGAAGGCAACTTCTCTTCCACGGGTTGATGGTTCTCACGGTCAGAAAATCCCTCCTTATTTCCAGGTTGAATCTCTCCTTGGTCAGTTCCCATCCATTCTTCCTTCTCTGGCCTTCGGGGGCTTTGGAGAACAGCTTGATTCCCTAACTCCCCTCTGTGGCAGCCCCTCAAATATTGGAAGATGCTCTCCTGTCTCCCCCGGTCCTTCTCTTCACTGGACCAGCCAGGCCCAGTTCCTGTAACCATTCTTCAAATATTTCAGCCTCCACAAATCCTCTTGGTTGCTCTTCTCTGCATTCTTGCTAGAGTCTCCACATCCTTTTTTTATAGTGTGGTGACCAAAACTGGATGCAAGTCTCTAGGTGTGGCCTTACTAAGGCTTTGCAGAGTGGTATTAGCACCTCCCTTGACCTTGATTGTATCCCTCTGTTAATGCAGTTTAGGATTGTGTTGGCTTTTTTGACTGCCGCTGCACACGGCTGGCTCCTATTTAGCCGGTTGTCCTCTAAGACTCCAGGATCACAATNCCCTTACCCTAACCCTTACCTTAACCCTAATCGCGCTTCTGTTGGTGCTCTTTTGTCGGCGCACCTTTGTGGGTGCACTGTCGACATCACGGTCTTGTCACTGCGGTTTTGACGGCGCACTGTTGTCGGGCGCGCATTTGTCAGGTCACGAATGTGTACTGTATGTACACATACCATAATTCTTACTTACTACTAACAGATTGATTGATTGATTGATTGATTGACTAATTGATTCAAGTCAGTCCAACTTGGCTAATAGTTTCTCTCCTCTTCCCCACCACTTTGCTATCGAGACCATCACTCAGCCTCACCCAGAGAATCCCAATATTCCTTAAAATTTCTACTCATCTCTCACCTGATCATATCCCATGCAACTTGATCTAAATTAATCTTCCCTCACATATTCCCCATGTCATTGGGGGGGGGGAGTTTTCCAGGTTGGTCTACCTTATCTCATTTTGCCTTTTATCTCATTTTGCTTCCCGAGTCTCTTCAATGTTGAATTCTTCCTCAAAGCCATTAAAATATTCATAAGGTTAAAGCAGCTTATCTGGCAGTTTGATTGTAATGAACAGTAAACAGGCAGTTTTCAGCCTTAGATAGTTCACTCATCACTTTGCTCATTTGAGTCATTTAAATGATATATGTTTTTATTTTATTTACTCTCTGCGTCTCTCTCACTGTTGGTTGTCTTTGTTGTATAGCACAACTCAGCATAATTAAAAATGGGATAAATAAAATAAAAACTAGATAAATAAATTGGGAACAACAGTCATCCACGCCCTTAAAGAGTGCATATGAGATATAGAAAGTGAAGAGATAAGGAATGGGAAGAGTCCCATTATATGTGTGTAGTAGTACATTTATACAATAAAAGATGTAGCTCCTGGACCATTAATATCGTATATTTTAATCTCATAATTGTTATCATCAGTACTATGATCATAACTACTGAATATGAAAAAGTTACAAAACTTTATTTTATGGATTATTGCCTAATTCCTAAGATAAACATCAAGTATTTCTTGAATATTTGATCGGGACAAAAGGGGAATTCAATAACTATAAAAAGTTTGATAATACCTTCATGTGCATAGACATAGACAGTTTTGGAATATAACATAGCCTTGTATATACAGGTACTCCTGGACTTACAATAGTTCATTTAGTGACTGTTCAAAGTTATAACAGCACTGAAGGTTTCAAGGTTCATTACACTTGTATGCCGCCCTATTCCCGGAGGGACTCAAGGCGGCTAACAAACCAAAAGGGGAGGGAATAATACAGAAAAAAGCAAAAAGCAAGCAAACAAAATACGGAAACAATTTAAAAACAGTCAACAGCCACACA